GGGGCAACGTACGGTGCACATCCTGAGCTTCAGCTCGCGCGCGGCGCAGTACATCTGGTAGCGGAAGCCCTTGATGTAGTTCATCGCGTCGACGATGAGGATGGTGTCCTGGCCCATCTGCCGCTGCATGGCGGTGAACAGCGCCGCGCGCGCCGGCTTTTCTGCCCGGCCGTCTGTGCTGAGATGTGTTGAGGGCCGCGCGGGTGCGACCAGACAACGCGGGACGCACCTCGGTAGACCCCCCGGTCGATGTTCAGCGTGTCATCCGAGATGATTGAGAGTTTGAGCTGGGGCCCAGTGTAGCTCGCGTCGCGCAGGCGGGACTCGAGATGGCCCTTGATCTGTTCAGCGCGCTGTGTTTTGCCAGAGCATGGGTAGCCAGAGATCGTGACGAGGGCCATGTGTCCCAGGAGAGGCCGACAAGGAGTGCAATCAGCAATCAGCGGGCAGTGAGAGAAGAGCCTCGATTTGTCAAAGTGTATTGGGCAGACAAAGTTATGTAGTAGCCTGAATTGCCGGATAGCGTCGATCGTGGTAGGCTACATTTCCAAAACTAGCTAGCTGGAAAGACATTTCAAAAATATTAGATGCTGCCTCCCAATCGGGCAACCGTCCAAGTTCATCCGGATTCCTGGTTTGTGTGCCCACAAAGTTCAAACTGCCGCGTATACACGGGTCTGGACGCGAGAGGAAGAAGTAGGAATCGGGTGGTCTGTCGCGGAGTAGTCTAGGTTGAGAGCGTTCGCACAACGTGATCCTCGTCAACGTTTGTGCATCTGTTGCAGCCACTCGCTTCATGTCACAGTACAATACTGGCGGACAACTTGTGATCTCAATTCAATGTGTCGCCCGAGAAATACACTGGAGTAGCAATGATGCCGACTCGGAGCTGCCGTGGAATATGGACCACTCGACATCCATTCCCCGCTCATGTGAAACGTTGGCCGGACTGCGAAGGTCTGGTCCCCTATAAATATTAGTCAGTTCGTAGTATTGATATATGACTCTGAGCGATGACCTGGAACGCTATAGGTGTCTGAACCGGAACCCTGAGTAACGCGGGGTTGTAGTGTAGTGGTAACATACGTGACGCGGGTTCGATTCCTGCTGGTTCCAGGTTCCACGATGTCATGGGTTTTGACCTCCGTGGGTGTTACATGTGGTGGAACTATATGCCGAGGAGTCTAAGTTCACGACCAAGCCCCTCAGACATGCTCTGGATAAGCCACTGAGCTGTTGGGTGGCCTTATTCGAGGTGGCATAAGTCCTGCATACCCGATGGCAGCTTCACCGGATTGGATAAGGTACTGTTGGGAGCATCTGTGGATCCTTGAACAGGCGGGAGTGTTCATGGGGGAGGGTGTAAGGGTCTGGTAGTCCGACCCTAGTCAAATCCCGGGTTAGATGGGTAAGCCCGACTACTGGGACACTGAGGTCTGAGAAAACCCTGGGTAATACGGGACTATAGTGTAGTGGGTACATACGTGCCGCGGGTTCAATCCTCGCTAGCTCCAGTTTTTTTTTTTCACCCTACGAGTTGACCATGAGCCACGGCCAATTGGAAGCAGAGATACATCCCTAGCTTGGCGCTTGTTCGCGCTAGTAAATCGGTGTTGCAAAAGTGCAGCGGAGGGCTTTTTTTCACGGAAGTTGTTCAGGCCATGGCATACAGCAGAAAACGAATCATGAAGTCCCACCCCTTCTCAGCACGCATCGAGCTGCCCCGCTGAAGATTGCAAGAATCTGGCAGTACGTCTGGTACTTGGTGGGATGAGACGCCGAGTTACGCGCGAACCCAGAACAGTGGGGATTGCTCCCGCTAGCTGGTTGTTGCAAAACTGCACATGAGCTGGAGAGAAGCGCAAGGCAGGCATGTGTTTAAAAATAAGGATGTATTTATCATCCATCACGTAGGCACGTTGAATTGCGCGATACGACCACTGGACACATACGTTTAAAAATTCGGTATATGATCGGCAGAACAGCAAGGAGATGACGTACACTGAGTCCGTTGTTGACCTAAGGGAGTAGAAGACATCCTCTATCGCTCTGTGCGAATGGCTCGATTACGACTCCCGTTTACCGCACGGAGAGTGCGTGGAATGAGCAAGCTCGCTTCGGGCGACAGCGTACAGAGATTGCGCGCAACGGCTTGCCGGGTCGCGATATCTGCACCACAGGGGCGTGCAGGTCGACATGGTAGATTACGTGGATTATCGATGTGTGACTGGGGGAGTTCTGATGGCGGGACTGATGAAGCGTGTCGGAAATCTCCCCCAGTCCTTGCACCTAGGTGGGGCCTCGAGGCGCAGATGCGAAGGGTTGGGACGGTGTCGGACGGAGCTCAGTCCCGGCTAGTGTTGAGAAGAGCCGGCAGGGTGTACACGATGAATGTTGCGTTCCAAACTTGATTCGATGTGCAACAGTTGGTCGCGGGGGCGGTAGGAGGGCGGGTGGCGACTGCGACATCGTCGATATGGGTGGATGGGCAACATGCATGCAGCCGGGTTCAGGCAGGAATCAGATGAGCGAAGAGGAAGGATATCTTATCCATCGGTGAGATGGATGTATGCTGCTGGGAAAGCTGTGGAGTGGGCGCAGAAGGGGAGAGGAGACGGTGGGACTTGAGGGGGGCGGGAGGGCGTCCACGAGACGGGGGCGTGTTGCGCGAGAAGGAGGACGGCGGCGTCTCGTGGACGGGGTAAGTAGAGGCGGCCATGCTCGCAGTCGCAGTCTGCAGTCTGCAGTGGACGTGCGGAGATTGGCGATCACACGCGGAACCGGACGAGCCGGGACCGGAGGCGCCGGGGTCAGGTGACGTGCGCCGGGCAGCCAGTTTTCGGGTTCCTCCTCTTTGGGCGCGTCGTCGGCTGCGTTCTCTTTCTTCTTCTTCTCCTCCTCCTCCTCCTCCTCCTCCTCGTCTCCGCCATCTCGTCCTTCAGCCATTCCATCCGGGGACGCAGCGAGCAGTCCCCTCGCAACGGTGTCGGCCTCCCGCATCAATCACCCCATCCATCCCTCCCTGCCTCGAGGCATAGCCACACCCCCAGGCGTGCACCTCGAGCGGAGGCGCCGTCTCTTCCTTCCTCTCACCATGGCCTTTGGCGGGCTCACTGCAATGTTCTATGGCTCCCACTCGTCCCTCTCCATGGCCACCTTCGTCCGCAAGGTTGACATCCGCACCCTCTTCTTTGCCACCGTCTGCATCATCATCCTCCTCGTCCTCGGTGCGTGCTTCATCTCCCCTCATTTTGCTGTTCAAGGTTTGATCTCCCACATCCTTTCATTTTCATGCCCATCAATGCCCGTCCTACACCCACACTTATTGCCCCTCTCCATGTTTTCCTCCATCCCGCCTTCATGCCGTCTCCAGCCTATCTCACTAATCCGTCCGAGACCTCCTTTCGATCCTACCTCACCGAGCAGTCCTTTCGCCAGCATCTCAGTCGCCTCGATGACAGCCCTCAAGACGACCAGGCATCCTCCAGGCATCCTGGCTTGCACTACTCTGTTGCTCGAAGATCTCATCAAATCTCTCGCATCTCAGGCCGCCTCTACGACCCCCGCTCTCCCTTTCACTTTGTCAATCGCGCCTCCATCTCTCTTCGCACCCCAAAGCACGTTTTTCATAGCTTTGGCATCTTGACCATCGCAGCCGTTTTCCCCAGCAGTCCTCCCCAGGGCCGCCCGACTGCTCTCCGAATGGATGGCTTTACTTCTGCCGTCAACGACTCGTGGTTCGTCGGTGCGTTCGGCAAATGGTGGCGTGGAGGTACAATTCGAGCTTGGTGCCATGACGCTCTTGTAAATCCGAAAGACACAGAGCGGCTCAATTCTGGTATACTCGACGTCAAGGCACTAGACACCCTTGAATGCTATGATGGTATATAGTTTCGATCCAGTATCCTGGCTCTTCGTATTAAGTGTCATCATTCATTTTCTAGGTCTCCCGTTCGCACCCAAGTCGACCTCGTTGCATCTCCCTAGCACAGACTCGAGCTCAAAATTTAGGGGAACAGAGCGGCCAGTACAACGCTCGGCCAACAACTCAACGAGAAGCATTACGCCTCCCCCGCTGCCAAAGTCGGCTTCGTTACCGTTGCATGCGCCCCGGACCCCGACGTCACCACTCAAAGGTGATCGATCCTCTGGACCGCCAACTCAAGCACCGGGATGCAACGTTTCTGATCAACTTGTACTCAACGCACCGCCGAGCATAACCTACACGCCCTCTTCTTCGCTTTTTGACCAGTCTCCCGCGATCGCTGAGATTCTGCGCCAGATCTCCCAGTCCAAGGCATCCGTTCTTGATCTACGCACGCAACTGACCGAGGTTCGTACTGCAGCATCGCAGTCCCACGCCACCATTCAGGGCGACCTCGAAGCCCAGCGTGAGCGCAAACGCATAGAGGATGCATCACGCCTGGAGCTGAAGACGACCACCAAGACACTCGAGGACTCGAAGCGCGCAGCTGAGGGCAGCAAACGCGATGCAGAGAAACGGCTGCGCGCAGCCGAGAGTGCCCGCGACAGTGCGAGCCAGCGCATCGAGCGGCTCGACAGGGAAATTAGCGCGCTGCAGGCGCGCGTGCAAGAAGACGAGGAGGCGGTAGCGCGGACACAAGAGGAGAGTGAGCGAGCTGAGAAAGAGGTTGTGGAGGAGTTGAACAGGAAACAGAGGGAGATCAAAGTTGCGGAGGATGTCATTGCTGCACTGACTTCGCGTGCTAAGGAGTTGGAGGAGCGTATTGTGCAGGAAGAGAAGCGGCTGAAGCGGGCAAAAGAACAGGCGGAATTGCGCAAGCAGGATCGATCGTTCTATCCCTTGCATGTGGTCACCGCTGCCGGCGATGATGAAGCAAGCCCCTGGTCGCCCATCGCCGCATATAGCCAAGCACTAGTACATGACCCCCACTCGCAGATAAATACGGACTTCGAGGCCGGTATCGAGGTCTTTCCTCCGGCCCTGCAAGTGTCATCGAACATCGGGACAGATTTGGTGACCGGGACCCCTGCGGTTTCGCCTCGACCCAAGACACTGTCACTCGGGGGCATCTCCAACTTCAGAGATCAGGCGCGCGTCGCAGTGTCCGATAACGGCGATGTATTCCTACGGCCTCAGGCATTTCCCTACTTTAGCGACAATCTATCCACACCGGTATCCTCTGGGCGTACCCACTCGACTCGCTTCTCTCCGTTTAGTGATAATGATACGGATCTGTCTGGCAGCAGCTTACTCGGTGGGGAGGCCATTTCCCCCAGGAGCTCATCGCTTATTCCGACCGGCCTGATCACTTCGATGGAGAGCTCGAGCGTAGAGGATGTCTCACGTTCTTTCAGTACGGAAGACGACGCTGTCATGGAACCGAACTGGCGAGCTCACCGGCCTCCCCCGCCGCCCGTCGAACACCCGACTACGTACACTGCCTCTCCAACGTCCATCACGAATCCCTCGTTCGACGGCATCGACCAGGATGACCCCTTCGAGATCCGCCCGCCCCCGCTCGCGGTGCGCCGACGCCTCACGTCCGACGCTATGGACTTGCAGCGCGCCGTGCCACCGTTCGCCAACTGCGCAATCTCCGAGTCACAGCCGGTGGCACAGGCCCACAACGAAGACACGGACGCGAGCACCGTCGCCCATCGCCGGTGGCACTCTGCAGACCCGAAGGAGAAGAAGGGCCTGAACCCCGAGGCAAAGGTCTTCCGGCTGACGAAGAAGTCGCTCCCGTCCTTCTTCCCGCCCCAGACGCCAGGCTACGACTCGATGGGCCCGCCGCCGCCCGCGCCCCTGCCCACCCCACTCAGCGTCCCGAGTGTAGCTGAGCCCGACTCGCTGCTGTCGTCCATCTCGATGCGCGCGTTCGCGCCCTCGCCGGCAGAGCGGGAGGCGCTGCAGCGCGCGCTGGGGAGCTCGTCGAACGCGAGCCTCGAGCGGCTCCCCACGCTGAGCGAGGTGTCGCTCACGAGCATGCCGTCGTCGCCGTCGCACGTGCACGCGATCGCGGCGCCGCGCGCGCC